ATTTTCTTTTTGTGCTTCAATAATTTCTTCGTCCATCGTTCGGATTGATTCAAAATCTTCCACAGTCTCTTCTAACGCGCTGAAAAAACTTTACATCAAATCTGGAAAAAAGAATTTCATTTTGCAATACATACAACAGATAGCTGAAAAATAACGACCTTTGAAAAATAAGCCTCAAACACAAAGATGTGTAAAAGTGAATTCACCGCCTCAACACAGATAAAGCAGCTTCAAATCTGCGCAGCAAGATCTGAACCCAAAGCTGGAAAAAAAGATCTACTTATGCGTCAAACTCAATGCGAATGTTTAAATATACTGGAAAGTGGAGGAAGTGCAACCTCAATTTCTTCTCCAATTCATCATTTTTTTGCGTCAAAGCTTCGATAATATTTTCACTCTCCAAGTTGGCGTCAATCTGAAAGTGTGCATCCAAACAAAAATCAACATAAAAGCGAAGAAATGAAACTTGCACAGCTTCTTCTGCATCTCACATATGAAATACAATTCGTGATGAGCGTTCAGGCTCGCTATATTTTCGAAATCTTAACAACACAGACCTCATTCCCTAGATTCACAAGAAAGTGCCCAAGCATACAAGCAAATGAAACACAAATGAGCAGGATCAAATGATTTCGAAATGATCAAATAAAAGTTTGGAAACACCGACGCGTCAAGAATAGCAACAAGCATGCTTGTGAAACTTACCCTCTCGTTGACATCAATCAGCTGCAAACAGCGCAATGTAAAAACGCGATGAACTAGCGGGATTGCTTTTTGTTCACAGATAAATGGCAATTTACAGATCCGAACACTGGTGGCTACTGACTTCATCTGCTGTGATCAAGATCGCACGCGCGGCTAGTAACGGATTTTGAAATCACATGCCAATAGGGGCAATCAATCGCTCTACGATCAGTTCACTCGCAAGGTGGTAAATGGATAGCGCACATGTCAGGCAGTCAAATCCAAAATCAACTTCTTTCTAAGCCATCTTCGAAAGAGCAAACCATCGACAACCTTGTCAACAGGTGGTAGCTGTTTGCAACTACCACCATTCAAAGTCACTTCTGGGTCCATCCCACAAATAAAGTTTGATTTTTGGCGGAAAAATCCCCAGTGACTGAATTAATTGTCTGTTTAGCAGCTAGCAATGATCTATTATTCCAAAAATAATTTCTGTTTTTTCTGCCTTTTAAAACAAAGGAAGCGCTCTGCCGCTTCCTCTAGCCGGATCAGTTAGTGACTGGTTTAAAAGGTGCAAGAAATCCAATGATTAATACCGGCTGAATTGCCTAACGGCCATAATTTGCACCAAAATGTAGCATTGATTTGAACAATACGAAGAGATGATGTGCTGTAGACCAATCGTGAATGAAGTCTGGCCATAAGGCATTTTTCGGAATTTCAAAGGAAACAAACCTGTTCCCTTAACGTAGTAATGTTTTGCTCGGCAGTTTGTAAATCTTTCTGCAAATTCTCACAAATTTTCACCAATTTTGCCGTTTCATCACTCAACTTCTCATTTTCTTGTTCCAACTTTCGCTTGTCTTCCGTCATACGACTAGAAAAATCTCGAAGCCTGAAAACTAGATAATTTTTTATTGAAGGAAGTTCTGGAAGCGTTGAGTGTTGATTTTTTTTAATTTAATCATTCAAATCCCCAAATTAACTCCTCAGGTACTATCGTTTCTAGCTTTCAAGTTTGCCGGTCAAAATTTTTAAAACTTTTAAATTAATCCTCAATTACTACTTTGGCCTTCAGGTAAGCATACCAATTGACAGAGCCCAGAAAATCTTCAAGCTAAGATTTAATCTGCAGATGCTCATATTAGAGTTCAACAAGTTCACTCATGAAACACTCAAAACACCTGTCCAAAAGGCGGCGCGTAAACAGATAGATTTTCTTTTTCTCTTGCGAAAGCGACAGCACGAACACTTCTGCTCAAAATTAGGCATTTCGAGGAGAAAAAATAAATTAAGTTTACTTTACTAAGGCCTCGCGCAATTTCTCGTTCTGGAACTCCAACTGCTTTAAACGTAGCCCATCGCTCTAAAACAAATAAGATAAAGAAAATGATAGATTCTAAATTAAATCATCAGTTTAGTGATTCACAAACTCTTTTCGTACTTAGATTTTCTATGGTAAGGGCAATTGGAAGTAGCCGGAATGGCAGCACAATCACCCGCTAGTCAAGCTGTCGATGGCCTCCCATCTAAAGGTTGCGTAGGAGCAAGCTGGTAGCGATTTTGTTTTTCTGACATACACCAGTACCAAATTACCGTCGAAACAAATGACCAATTCGTATAGGGACTGACTGTCCCAATGGCGCCGGATCCCAAGACTCTCGCGCGACAGCACTGCCCGAACTGCCCCTGTGTCATGGCTG